CGTAGTTGAGTGCATTAGTAGGAGACAAGAATAGAGGCGAGTATGCCTCATATTTGGCAGGGTCGACAGTGTGCTCGGGAGTAAGAATCCTGGAGGTGTTGTAGATTTTGCCAGTGTTGTCGAGAATACTATTTTGCGAGATTGACACGTAATCACCATACCAAGTGTTGGTAAAGCTCAATGCTGGAATAATGATCCAGACAAAGAAAACAACACCGATTAAAGTGTTTACGTGTGCATACCACGGACTAAGTAGCGGGCTGTTAAAGAAGGAGTTGATTTGTGCCCAGTCGAGAGTGAACCCGGTAAATGGAAAGCCGAGTGCAAGGCCAGTGCTCTGCCCAAAGAGTTGGTTGACGACGACATTATTAGGCTTGGCCCAAGTAACCCAGGCAAAGTAGCTGAATGCAGGAATGATGAAGTCTGGGAGCCAAGACCAGATGAACATGCCAATCATGACGTACATGAACATTCGGTACCGCGAGATGGACCAGCCATTGGTGGTCGTAGGGTTAGTCGGCCCGTGGTCATGGAGAGCGTACATGAAACCGACATTGACAAGTGCGCCAGGCCAAATCATGGACGCAGGTTCTACAAGAAACTTTCGGACGGAACCTGCGAGACCAAACCCAAGACATTGGGTAGACAGAGCAAAAAGCGTGTTGAAGCCCCATCCGAACTGACTCGTGTCGAACTTGTAGAACTTGCGGAGTGAGACGACGGTGTCGACAAAGTATCCAGCGCCACCACCAAAGGCAGCATTGGCCATTGCGACGATTATGACGTGCTCCTTGACATTGAAAGGTCCTGGGTTGAGATTTCCTTTGAGTCCGAAGATGCTGAACTCCTTATTGGGAAGGACTCTGGCGAAGAAGATACCGATCGGGTAGGCGATCAACAGTACAACGTAGGGGCCGATGCTGATAAGGGGATAACGCAGCAAGAAGAGCGCGTTAACTGATGAGCAAATTGTGGTCATAAGGAGACCGATGACCCATGAGCGAATGGTACTGGCAGGAACATCTTCATCGTAGTTCCGAACGACAGCACGGACCTGTTGTCTTGATTAGTTCCATGTGGAGGTACTTAGACATTCGTGGAACTCACTTCAGGATATGGTGAGTTCTCGATCACTTCTCCAACGAGCTTCGCCTCGCCGTTCTGGTCGTGGGTCGCAGTGGCGGCATCGACCATGTCAACCGCCTCGTCTGGCAGGTTAGGGTCCCATTTGTGTTCTTGACGGAAAGCCTTTAGGCGTTGGTTTGCCTCTGCTTCGCTGATGTCACGAACGTCCGAGGCATCGTTGCTGGATGTCTCTCCATGGGAATCATTCGTTTGTTCGCTAACAGTAACGGGGTCCTTCTCGGTGTCTGATCTCTTGAAACCCAGCCTCTTGCCAAAGCCTTTGGGCGACATCTTTTCGATGTTGGTCAGGAATAGAGAATAAAGAAGATGATCCTTGCAGAGATACCCAGGACTATGGTCCTTTATAAGTGATCTTCAATGGCACGATACTTGCATGGCCGACGGGTCAAGGTTCACAAACGGATATTGCCTCGGCCAGCTATCTATGAAGCAGCTTCTAGATAGAGCCATGGGCACGGCACAATGGCACCAATCAGATAACCTGGTGTGAATGATATCGGACGCGGCACGAACACTATGGCAATTTGGGGACGAGCGGGGTGAAGGGTCTAACTGGTCTTCGGGACACGCCGCGCAATGGATGGATATAGAGTTGCTAGCTAAGCTTTGGTGCCTTCCAACTCTGGTATGGTCGACATTTTGGTAGCGATAGTGCAAGTCTTGATGAAGCTTGGAATGTTAGGGTTCCTTGGCCACGGCGCTTACGATGTGGCGCGTGTTTTTCGTATCTCCGGTGGAGTCTCGGAAGCTTCGGCTTCGAAGACCAATGGCATTCAATCACAGGGTAGAAAAGGTGTGCGGAGACCGGATTGAAGGGAAGTGTGTTGATGTCTCCCCTATAGGAATTTGAACACATACATCATCTTTCTTGGGCGATGGTTTTGTTCGAGAGTCAGCCAACAACGGTTCCCGCATGCATGTCACCTTCGAGAGGGTGCATGGAAGCTTTCAGCGACATGGTTTGTACCTGTACACGACTCGGACCATCGTGTCTGCAATGAGACGCAGGCCAGTGGGATAGATAAGGAGGCAGTCCCTAGATTAGATACGTGTCAACGGCCTATCACGTTTCAACTCTACCGCAACCCCATGCATCGTGGCTCCCGTAGACTGAGCATTGTCCAATGATCGATGGGATAGATAAGTACATCTGGCCGATAAGTGACCAGGGGCGGTAGATGTCCAAGTGGGGATTGACGCATCCACCAGGGCCTGTTCGATTTCGCGATCATAGCTTTGTTTATCGGTCGGCTGTTTGGATGCGGGTGGAAGAAGCCACTGAGAGTGGCGTGCCGGCGCAAAGGAATTGCAGCAGGACCCAACGGAACCCCCAGGGCCTGGACGGGAGTTCGCGATTCCGTTTTGCTCTCTCGGCTTCGCTATACCTATATGGGTAGATGGTAGACTAGTTCTACACTAGTAGCGCCATAACTGTGTAGTTGTGGTGATTTCAATCCAAACAGAGCTCTTCGTTCCGTTCAATTGACCTGCCGAAGCTCCGTTCCGCAGCTCTAGTGCCGTTTATGTCTACCGGGCCGATGTTGCAGTTATGCGGCCGAACAAGTCCCTAGTTTGGATATCAGCAGAATGTTGTTGATGAAGTCATCCGACCAATATTGATAAGAACAGTATCAGAAAGGCTGTCTCTATCCAAAGCGGATCGCAAGGATGACGTTGGGTAGGATTTGTTTGTGGCTTTCGGCTCGTACTTATGTGACCGACACATCGGAATGCGCTAACCTCTTAGCGTGCTTTGATGTGGCGTATGCTTATCAGCTGCCAGCCTCCGAGTCATGTAGCAGCCACGCGACTTCACTCCGCAGTTGACAAAGGACCTCGGAGCTCTCTACTCAGGATGGACGTGCTGCATTCGGTCTGCCTTTTGCCTTCCATGAGCTTAGGAACGTTTCCGCAAGCGCCGTTTTTCCAAGCATAATCGTACCTAAGAAACCTAGGTTATCACTTTTCCTAATTTGTGTCTAATAACCGGTAATATAGAACAATTACACCAACTACATACATACGTCCGCTAGATGCTCTTCTAGCCCCTTTTACATTCCACCCTATAGCCCCCCTTCTCCCCCCCCCCTTTTTCGATTTTTGCCACCTTGTTCGGCTGGCAGCACTTAATCTTGTGGGGAGTGAGTTATAATTATGCGAATGGGCATCAGCAAATACCTGCTGCCGTGTATCATGTGCTGTTCCTTCTTATTTTGGGAGAGAGCGTACTATTTCCTTATACCTATGCTACACTATCATCTCTTTGCTATGTAGCTATAGATGGGTCTTCACTACTTCCTCCTTTAATCGCAATTCAACTCTAATGTTCTTTCTAGATCTAATAACACTGATAGTAGAAACTTCCCCTAATACATTAGTAGAATGTAAACTGCTGGTTTTCTCTAAAAGACTAATTTAGTTACCCGAATTAGTTCTCATGCTCAAAGTCCCACTTTTGCACTGCAGATATAGCTACTTCTTGGAGTAGAAAATTTCTCGCAGGTAACTCCCATGCAATCCATGCAATCTAAATTGAAGGATTCTTCTGGATATTCAGTTAGAGATTTTGTACAATAAATGATAGAGTTCCTTGGATGAAGTCTCTTCAAAATTTCAAGTACCTCCAAGGCCCAAAATATAACTCCATCCTCGAGCTATAAGACGATTGGAACTAGAGATCAAGCTCACTTCGCGTTCTCACTCGCTGTTGGTATTAGAAACAACTCCCAACAGTACTCTGATATCGCTAAATCAACCGATACATCGGATATCGAAGAATGTGAACAAGAGATGGATGGGCACCATGGTCATAATGGTCAGACACTCAAAACACGTTTCGTCTGGCTCATCGTCCATGGTTTTCATGCTACAAGCCTGCCTTTGTAAGCACTTGAACTTGGAATCTCGTTCTTTCTTTAGCGAATTTCTGCTATCTCCTCTTTTAGCCAAGCAATGTGCCATGGGCGGTGAGGCGAAACAAGCAAGCCTCTGATAGAGCGGTGTGACCTACTTAGTAAACATGTGTTGATAAATTCTCATACATCCTGCTGATATTGTTGCTTAAAGCTACTCAGTGGGTATGTATCTTTCATTGCTAAAAGATGAGTGTGGTCCGCATCCTGCTGCATGCCAAAAGGGCAGAAGAATGTCTAGTAGCAATCCTGTTGTCAGGATATATTGCGATCCGGATTTCAGACGCTAATTGGTAACACAATGTACTTTTTTCGGCTGGGTGGTACAGTGGCGCCGAATTGTCCTGCAACACCAAAACCGCCAAAAGGAAAACGTCGAAAAATGTTTTCCAGTGAAACGAAAGTATGGATAAAAAAGCGTCCTAAAAAGGGTCTAAGAGGCGACAAAAAGCAAGACTCTATACCATGAGCAGAACCGTTTGCCGGTTAGTTAGCATTATCTGGACCGACCTTTCCACAAATCAAGGTGTGGTAAGCCAATCATGGTACTCGCCTGTGCTTCTCAGGGTTGTCACAAAAATTGTAAATTCGGAAGATAGTAACAATCGAGGGAGGAAAGACTTTTGATTTGGGCAAAGCTCTTCTGCCGGCTCTCGTATTGTATGGGCAAAGCATAGATTTGCGTACAGTATAAAAGAAAGGCCCCTAAAAAGCATTCAGCTGAAGTCACAGCGTCTATGTTCGCGCGTTACACATCATCAGTAAATGGGCATAGTTATGCGCATCTCGGTTGATGAGTTGCTTGTCCCATGGAGCGGTGTGAATGAAGAGAAAAGAAGTAACTAAGACATTAACTATATAGGTCTGTAAACATGGGAGGCTTTGTAACTGCCATTCTCCAACAAAATTTCCTCAGACTTCACATATCTACCTGTAATTATCATGGGAGCCTCTTGGATCTATCTTACTTCCGCCCTGTGTACGGGGGCTGTTGCCTCTGACACCCAGTACACCATGAGCACGTCAGACTTTTCTGGGATTACTGGGAACTCATACCAGTGCGAAAATGGTAAGTAGATCCGAAATTCAAAAACAATCTGAGTTTCTGACATATAAAAATAGGAATGAAACCTTCAGTCACATGTGCGGATCCATCACTCAACAACGACACCTGCTCGTGCACTTGCACAAACGGCATCATGTTCAACCAGCCTGTTCCGTCACCTGATCAGAGCAGCGGAGGCAATGACGCTTCACTCGACATATGCCAGGCGGAAAAGGATCAATACATGGAGCGCGAGCGAGAGGCGATGGCTAAACTTCATGAGGCAGAACTTGCGCACACCAGCTGCCAGGAAGGGCAGACAGTTGAACTTGAGGAGAGCAAGACTGGCACATCTTGAACGCAAACGACAATTGTCCAATGAATTGATTGCATGCAAGCCCCTTAGCAAAGTCAAACTCTCTGGCTGCTTCGATCATACCGGTCGAGCCCTCAGGAGTTTCAGTACCGATCAGACATGGATGTCACACAGATTCTGCTTGAATCTTTGTCGGGATCATACGCATTACGGTCTTGAGGGTAGTATTATTTGCCGTTGTATCCTCAATTTCAAAAACGAGCTGCCAAGTAGGCCAGAATCTGAATGCTGCGGAAGTTGCAGTGGCAACCCTATGCAAGCTTATGGAGGCAAGTCCAGGATAATTATATACGGATACAATCAGGCGCCTTAGATCAACTCAATGGAGGAAACGATACTGTAGGATGGCTTTCTAGAGTGACCACGAGATTGCAGTTGGTTTAGCTTTGGAATGGCATATGGGGAAAGGGCGAGTGGTTGGTTAACATGCTGAATTACAAGGCAAACTACTCTCTCGTACATGAGCAGAGATTGAAGAATGAGGCTGTACAAGTGCTTATCACAGTCATTTTCATGCAGCATTGTAGAGCAAGGATAACCAGATGCCTGCTATCAACATATCTTACTTCTAAGAACCCTGTTTGGAACCTCTGCATATATTTTTACCTGTGTTTTTTTTGTAGAGCCGGTGATGCAAACTTAACAGCAGTGGTACTACCTCTAACCCATCCAATAGATCTCCTCTATAATGCTTCTATGAAGGAAACATCAAAAGCCTCATTTCTGCCATTTGAATCAGTTTTGCAGCTTTCGCGCGTTTTGTCAACCCCTTTCCCTAAAATCTTTAGGCCTTACTCGCGGTCATTTCGTCTTCTTAGGAGTCCAAGACGCAAAGCTCTCATCGGGACATAAAGATCGAAAAAATTTACAGTGATTTGGAATATACGGTTATTAAAACCCAAAATGCATCTTCACATCCTAACTACCTTCTGGACACTTTTCTGAATACCCAATCAAATCGTGTTAACACTCAACTCTCGCCGTTCTATTGGCGGAATGAGCTGCTTAAGAAAACTAGTATTTATATTACACTGATCATCCGCATCAACATACCTACCCATTCAAAAGCGGACCAACACGTAATTCTGCCAAGTGGTGGACTAAAACCGCCGGATAAGAATCGTGTCCAACGTCAGCCCAAATAACTGCTAGAATCACCGCAAACGGCATTGAAATCTCTCTAAAGCACCCAGAGTTCTCGAAAAGTACATCACAATCTACTTCCTTACTCAGAAATAGCCAAGCTGAACGCTGTGTAGTATGTATAGCGTAGTAGCTTTGTCATTGTAGTACGGGCGTTTGTAATCCGGTTATTTCGGTACAGCACACATCCGCTGCCCGAGCCTGCCCCAACCAAACCCATCTCACAAACGCGCCACAAAAATCCGCAAAAGATCGGGAGCGGGGTCGAGTGGGACTGCAATCTTGATAAGAAAAAGTGGAGAAGTTTAGGAAAAAGAGCCCGAGGTAACCAAAAAAACTTTCATACTACAACACATATAAAATAATAACCCCCCCCCCCTCACACGCACTCTATCAACAATTCAACTCCATCACTCCTCAAGTCTATATATACTTCGAAAACCAAAAACCAAAAAAATTAACAACAACCTCCAAACCATCTATCCATACACCAAACACCCCAAAAAAACAAACCAAACCAAACCAAAAAACATGGCAGGCGCAACCGTCCTAGTCCTCTACCCACAAACCCCAACCTCCACCTTCAACGCCGACTACTACCTCTCGACGCACATGCCCCTGGCCGCAAAACACTGGACCAAGCACGGCCTCAAGAGCTGGAGCGTCTCCAAGCTCAATCCCGACGGGCCTTACGCGTACTCGTCGGTGCTCGAGTGGGAGAGCTACGAGGGCTTCCAGGCGGCGATAAAGGATGCAGGCACTAAAGAAATCATGGAGGATGTACCGAATTTTAGTAGTGAGAAGGCGGTTTTGGTGCATGGAAATGTTATTGCGTCGGGTTAGGTAGGTAGGTAGTTACTGCTACTGCTGCTACTGCGTTTTTCTCGGAGGAGGAGGAAGAGGGGTAAAGGAATAGAGAGAGAGGAAGAAAAAAGAGGGGTATCTGGAGTGTTTTTTTCTTGGCCCCCGAACCGAGGTTCAAACTTTGTGGATTTGCGGGATTAGAGTGGAATCTACGGCCGTTTGCCTCAAAGCGCATTCTTGGTCTCTTGCCAAGTCAAATATCGTTCTCAAGATGTAAAGAAGGAAAATAAAAAAAATCCCAAGAGCGAGTCTCGTTGACATTTCTTTTTTGCTACTGTACAACAACAGAGTATGCCAAACTACTACAAAACAAAAGCAGATGTGTCATTACGTCATAGGATAGAAGGTTAATACCGAAAAGGCAATTATGCATGTATTCAATGTCCACTACCAAGCACGCTAGGAAAAAAACAAAACAAAAAGAAAAAATGTAGTCTAGAAAACCCTTAACGCAACTCCATCCCCATGTTTGGAGCCCACTATGCAAAATTGTTTTTTATCCAGACCCAAACCAAACCTTCTAGATGCACCGAGGCCATCAAGGCATGCTATGCACCAAACTGAACAAAGGAAAAAGACACAAAAGGAAACATGTACAAGGATTGACTCCCATCTATCCAATCGGAATATTACAAATTAAACCCGATCCTCAAAATTGATCAATTGCTCTCATGGCTGTGGGCCCGTTCATCGTCGCAAATGACCCTGCTGCTGGTGGTAAGAGTGTCTCGCTGCCTCTTGTGCCTGATCAAAGCTCGCGCCATACGCTTGCGTGGGTGCCGGTTGCTGTTGTTGCTGCTGGCTCACATTGCTATAGCCTTGCATGGGTTGTTGAGGAAAGTATTGCCCCTGTGGAATTTGCCCCGTTGGTGTGGTCCAAGCACCGGGAACCTGCATAAACGGTGTTGATGCCTGCTGTGGGAAATATTGCTGCTGCTGTTGATACATTGGGTGCATCTGGTTTGGTGTGGAGTAGCCCATGACAGATGCGCCAGATGGTGTGCCAGGACCTGTGGGCATGCCCATGACACTGGGGGTGCCCATGACACTAGGAGTACCCATGACACTTGGTGCTGCCATGCCGCTTGGCGTTCCCATCATGCTTGGGGCATACGTACTTTGCGCCATTGCATACTGCTGTTGCATGTGTTGTTGCATCATCATTTGCTGACGCTGTTGGGCTTCCATGATTTGTCGTTGCTGGTTCTGCAGGGTACGCCTATCAATCTCGACTTGCATAGCTGCCGAATAACTGTGGCGATTGATTTTTGACGCGGCCCTCTCCTTTTCGCGGTTATCAATGAGCCCGGTCAACCCTGTAGGGGGCTCCTTTTGTGGCGACTTCTTGGAGTTTTGCGAAAGGTCAAGGAGGGGCGTGTTTGTCATTCGTGCCACCTGTTCTTGTTCTCGAGCTGACAATGTCGTGGGTCGTTGCTCGAGCAGCGTGTCTACCCCGCAGCTTAGTGGACGACTAGGTGGGCGGACCATTCCTGAGGATTCGTACGGAGATCGCTGAATTTGGCTCCAATCCCCAGAAGGTGTGCGAACAAAAGGTGGAGGCGTGTGCGACTTGCTCCTCCCGTGCCCATACATCTTAGGCTGCTGCATAGACGCGCGGTGCATTACCCACTCCTGAGGATCCAACTTGTGTTTATCTGGCTGATGGGGTTGGGGCGCGGCTGGTTGCCAGGGCACCTGCCGTGAATCTTGAATCTTTGAGGAGTCGGAGCCACTGCGCACATGCAAAGGCAAGTGAGGTGAACTACCTGCAGAAAGGTACGAAGTCCTCCTGTGCTCTTTTGGAGTTGTCGCAAGGTTTTCCCTGGATCGTGAGGCACTGCCGTCGTGCAGCACTTGTGTCATGGTTCCGCTAGTACCTGGGCGTTTTTCATTGAAATCCAGAGCATAGGTTGGTCCAAAGTCAATGTTGGGCACCTCAGCCGGTGCTTGGGCAGGGTCTAATATAGACTTGTATCCATGCGGGTCTTGTTCTACAGGACCCTTCACGTTGGGGTCTCCAATGATTGTCAACACGCCACTTCTGGGGCGGTCCTCACGTCTTTGAGGAAGTCGGCGTGGGGGAGGCTGTGGTTCCTCTTCAACAATGCTAGCATAGTCCGGTGTTGACGTAGATACAGCGTCATCTTCGTAACGACTGCTGGATGCGCTGGGTCGACGGGCCAAAGTTGCCTGAGCCATGTTGAGAGCATCGAGTGCTTCGAGGTCGACTACGTCGTGTTGTAAACTGTCGAGTCTTGAGCTATTGGTCGATAGAGTGTCATCCTCTTGCGAGGCGAGGGGAGACGGACCTGGCAGTGGCTTGCGTGTGATGCTGCCATTTTCCGGGTGTGGGCGGAAAGGAAGCTCTTGGCTTTGTGGCTGCTGCGGTAACTCACTATGCTCTGGGACAGGCGGGGCAACTGGCTGGTAGGAATTTGGAGGATCGACAAACTCCGAATGCTCAACATAGGGCGATGCAGGAATAGTGGACAAACGGTTGATCGATTTTTGATTTGTTGGTGGTGGTCTTGAAGTGACGTCGAGAGACATCATCTGTCCTTGGTCAGCGTAATCGCCGCTTCGCCTGCTTTGGATGCTCTCCTGGCCTCTCCAAGCCGCGACACCGCTAGAGTAAGCCAAGCCGGGTTGCACGGCATCAGCCATTTGCTGAAGTGTAGCGGAGTCAACAGCTGGGTTCGGCTTTGCCATGGGAATATTGGGCCGGATGGGTGGCTTCTGGTTGGCGGCATGCTCCTGGGTCGGGGGTAGGTCGACGTTGCCCTGTGGCGGAGCGGCCAAGTCTGCAGGAGGCGGTGGCAGGTCGTGTGGTTCTCTCGAAGGACTTTCATCGTAATCTGAACTGTCATATGGCTGTACAGCTCCGGCTGGTGGAGTTACGTTGAATACACGATGTTCAGGGGGCGTTGGTGGATTTTCGTCCTCAATCGATGCTTGGTCGGGTACAAACCTTGATGATGTTGTTTGGCTGTGCCCATTGACTTGCTCGGATACGGAGCGTTGATGACGCGGGGCACCAAATGGGTCTACAGCTGGTGCAGTTCCGACCCGACGCGGTGGTTGCACTTCAAGATCCTGGAGCATCTTCCTATTAGGTGATGACTGGCGTGTAGATGGGCTGGAGCGGACCGAGCCGTGATCCTCGAAACGTAAGCCACGAGAAGTGAAACCGGCACGGCCCACGGTATTTCTGCGGCTAGCTCGATTGTACACGGAACCAGCATCAGAACCCAAAGTGTTCATGCGGGTTGAGGTAAGATCCTTCAACTGTTTTCTCCACTGACGCTCCGACCATTTGTCGCTACCTGGTGTGTTGATCAAGCCCACAACGTCCCACATTTCCAAGTATCCGTATCGTCGATCTGACGGCATGGCAAACATCAATCCTCGAGTGTCAAGAACATCGGCGATTAGCTTCTTGGGCCGTCCGTACAAAGCAAACGTATCAAAAACAGGGAAGAGAAACTGAAGCATGATTTCAAAACCTGAAATGGCGGGCCGTGTTTCCGGCAAAACAAAAACAAAACCTTCTGTTGTGCTCTCGGGGTTCGAGTGAACAGTAATCTTGCCCTCAATCTTGACCAGGGTAGATTGGTCAATGAGCGGTTTTGATTGCGGATAAATGGCATAGCACGAATATGCGTCTTTGACCGTGGCAATGGCCTTTGTTCTCTTGGTGACTTTTTTGGTGTCGTAGAATTTGATATCGCCTTTCAGAACTGGTGGCCGCTCGTAAGAACTGCCCTTCTTGTGCAACTTCTGCAGCTTCATCCACTCCTTTTCGTCAGGTGGAGATACGACGCACCAGCAGCGGCGCCAAGGAGTGCCAGCTCCGAAGCGAACGCGGACCCAGTCTTCGTACTTTGAGCACTGTCGGTCTAGTATGACACGGATGTTGTTGAGTGACTTGCCCTTGCCTGCAATCAATGCGCCTGTGTATGCCTCGGAGAGAGTGGTGTGTTCGAACATGGCCAGGCGGATGCCCGCAGTCCATTGCGTGAGAGCGTGGTATGAGTCAAAATGGAAGAGGTACTTGTTGCTGGCAGCTGTTGAAACACTGAGGATATTGTCGAGCTTCTTGCCATCTTTGAGCGTCATGGAAGGAATCTAGCTACGTTAGTGATGGGGCTGCATGCCAAGGTTCAGGAAGGGAATTACCATGTGAATTGCGGCGTCGGTAAGGTTGATAAACGTTGGTATCACCTCACCCTCGCCGCCTGCTTGATCGAGCGCACTTGCGTCCCATAGCGAGAGAATGGTGCCCACAAGTTGGACAAAGTACTCTTGCCACTTTCGGTCTGGAGGGGGACGGCCGCCTACATGCAGTCAGTATCACAGGCCAAGGATGCGTGACGCGGTGGATCGACGTACGAGAATCGGTGTCATGAAACTTGAGAAAGTAGCCTTCCTGGTACAGTTTGTTGGAATGGCTGTTGAGGAACGTGAAGATGCGCTGCAACTCCGGTAACGTGTCCTGGCTCACCTCCATAAAAGGTGGCTGGTATGTCTGGATCATGGACATGGGGCGTACAGAGGCTCGCGAGTCACTGCGCTCGCGCCCAGTGGTTCGGGAAGGTGGGCGCTCATTGTTGTAGTTTTCGAGGGCGGTGGCCGACTGGGTGAGGCTTGGCGAGGCTCCTTGCTGTCTCATTGCAGGCGAAGGTGGAGCAGCGGGGGACGTGGATCCTGGAGAGGGCCCAGCAGAGGGAGGGTTTTTGTGCAGGGTATTCGGTAGGCCACCCCATTGTGACATGAAAGAGAGGACTGTAGGGGGCGAGCGGGGCGCAACGTTAGCAACGGTTTGTTCCAAAGGCGACCACGGGGGCATGGTGAAGCGCAGGGAAAAGATTGCAGCGGGGCGCAATATTTACCTCTCTTGGGTCGACCCATGGCAGCGACGAAGGCGAGGGTCTAGGAAGGTGAGGTAGAGGGACGGGCGGATGGCGGACGAACAATGCAGG